CTGGAGCTTCAGAAGCCACTTTGTGATGTAAACCATGACTGGGTCAGAAATACAAGAAAGCTCCTAAGTCTCTATCATAACAACTCTCCACCAGCCTAGCCCAGGAACCTCTGGATTTCTTTTCAAACAAATACAAAATCCTAACTTTTTCTGCTGTTGTATCTTAATCACTTCTTGCAACTCAAGGCACCACTTACTGATACAAGGTATAACAGCAGTTTCAAGAGATCCGTGTGGCAACAGGGTCACATACATTTTTAATACTGGTAAGACCAAGTTGAGATTTGGATGTCATCATTTGTCTAAGACAATTACTAATGAAATTATACCTTTCTCTTATTTTCAAAGGGAAATATTTTTATAAAAGCTTCTTTCACCCAATTACTTCCCTTCAATTGGCCTTTCTTTTAAAGGAACATATGGGTCCCTTTCTCATATCTACTGTAGCATCTCCTTCCCATTAACTAGACTGATGCAGAGATATGGTTAGGTAGACCCACTCTCACAGGTCCTACAGACTTGGAGTTCTGTCAATGGTCATTCCCACTCATGTCCAAAGGTAGTTCTGATCATAAGAGAGGGGGAAGAGAGAGAGAGAAAGAGAGAGAGAGAGAGAGAGAGAGAGAGAGAGAGAGAGAGAGAGAGACCTACATTTACTGAAAAGAAGCCTGCCTGTATGGCTTTAACTAAAGTGACCCCACTCAGGTCCCATTAAAGATCAGGCTTTGCCACTGAAGTGGCCACACCTTAATTAAGTACTTTATGAGCCTGAGCTGGACTGGCATGAATGGATCAAAATGCTGACACCATTCTCAGGCAAATCAAAGAAGCCTGGTATCCCCAATTAAGCCAGTGAAGAGAAGGAAGAGGAGGGGAAGGGAGGAAGAGGAGTATTTTAGCTGGAGAAACTATTTCTAAATAGAATGTAACTCTGAAATAAAAAATATTCCAAGAAAATAGTGGTGAGTACAATCTGAGTTATAGTTTCGAATACTAAGACCAAAGAAAGATATCAAGTTGGAAAGTCAGATTGTACCATCTGGTTGCTAGAGTCTTGATCAAATGGTTTCAGTTATTTCCCATCTCATTTCTGTCATCAGAATTTACTAGGGTCTTTGTTTGCCAAATTTTAGTTTGGCATTCACCTTCTTTTTCTTCTAGTGTATATCCATTCCTCTTCTTCAAAAATAAAGCAACCAGAACAATTAATGAAGTGACTTATTTTTGCTTTGATAATTCTGAATGCCTGCCTGTTGTTCTATAGTCTGTGGGATAGTTCACTAATAAGAGTCTATGTGTATGGGGGAGGGGGTCAAGTACATCTGGGCCCCTCAACTGCCATTATGGTGCTTCTACCCAAGCTGTAAAGGTGGAAGGTGGCTGGTATTCTTCAAACAACTAGAGAGTAATAAAGACAGAAGAAAATTATTACACCAAGTTCACGAAGAGACTTCAATCTAGAAGGGAAATGACAAGAACAAGTCAGAGTTGTGTAGAAAATTCTAAGCACAAAGTGGAGCTAGTTCTTAAAGAATAGAATGAAGAGTATGGTTAAAGTTAAAAACTGCCGTCTCCCCACTATTATTCCTAGGCTCTCTCTAGCTTCACTCCCTAATATTGGACATATGCAAACCATTTCTCTTTTTGTATTCCCCATTTATAAAATCTTTCTAGATTTTTTAAAGAAATCAGGTAAAGTTGTTTTTTAATTTGGTTTCAAATATTGTATTGATGTTTTGAAAATATACTTCTCATGACTTTAGGGATTATAACTCTGTTGAATTAAGGAAATTAAGAAGAGTGATATTCAGAGAGAGAGAATGGGGACCTGTGCAATATCACAAAGCATGTTGAGGTAGACTAAGAACTAGAAGCCAAGTCTCTGGATTCCTGTTTCAAGATCTTTCCACTCAGAGTGAAATACAAAGCACCTGGCATTCATCAGAATACAGTAATTCATCTTGCAGGAAGCTGAGGCATGACTAAACCATTGTGAATGGCTCCTTCCTGCTTCTAGGGAAATGGCACAATGCAGAATATACGTATCTAGCTCTGTATCTGTCTCTCCATTATGGCATCTCCTTGTGTACCTGTGGCAGATATTCTGTAGCCTACAAGCAAGGCCAGCAGCCTATCATAGCCATACCTACCCAAATATCAAAGGGTTTACCACAACCTAGCACAGCCACTAGAATTTTCCAATATGCAATGTAAGCTTACCTGAGCTTTCCTTTCAAGGGGCAGCAGCAGCCAGTCCTACAGAAGCACCCTACCTCTGTACACCAGAGGGAAATAGCTAGGAGTCTGAAATTCTAGGTGTGACATCTTATCATGTCGTCAAGACCAAGGGATCCACTCATAGAGAACCATTTCATCTAAGTTAATGTCAAAGAACCTGTTTGCATCATGCTAACTGCCTTGATCAATGTAAGAATTTCCCAACATTATATTACACTTCCTTTGAAGCACTCACTCTCTTCTAGATAAAATTATCAAGAGGAGCCAGGCACCAGTGGCTCATGCCTGTAATCCTAGCTACTCAGGAGGCTGAAATCTGAGGATCATAGTTCAAAGCCAGCCTGGGCAGGAAAGTCCATGAGACTCTTATCTCCAATTAATTACCAGAAAACCAGAAGTGGTGCTGTGGCTCAAGTGGTATTGTTCAACTTGAGCTGAAGAGCTCAGGGACAGCTCCCAGGGACAGAATTCAAGCCCCACAACTGTTCAAAAACAAAAAATTATCAAGAGGAAGCTCTTCACTTCTAGTTTTCTGAAAACACTGTTTGAGTATTTAAGGTATATTGGGGTATCTTGGGAAAGATAGAGGAGAATGCCAAAAGGTGTAATGCTGCTGGAGATACATCGTACTCACAAACTGACATGTTGAATTGAAACTCCTTTGTACATCTACATATATAAATGTAGAAGTACATGTCTAATATCTAACATATATCTAATATACATCTAATATAAATATACATATGTATATGTGTATGATATATATCATAATATATTATTAGATATATATGATTGTCATATAATATATATATTTATATGTACACTTATATATGTATATATATGATTAGACCTACATTGCCAATTTGGTCACAAATTATTAGTGATTATTTTTCAGCATCTCTCAGAAGTTTGGCAAGTAAGACTAAATGTACCTTTGATAAGAATTACAGCATTCTAGAAAGTTCTTTTGAAATTCCTGGCTTTCTCCAAAGTTTAATTTAGTAGGAAAGGATCATGTTCGCCAAGAATTAGGTTGTGTATCAAGGAAGAATGAGGCACTCTGGCCCAGAGACAGGTTTTTTTTTTTATTTATGCAGTAAAGGCAGGCAACTCTTTAATCAGCCTTTGTTCCTGGTTTGTAAAATGGAAGCAGTAGCATCTGTAGACAGTGGTGAATTGTAAGTCCCCTGTGGAATGTTTGGGTCAGAACAAATGTCTACATACTGATATGCTAATATAGATATTGGGGGGGATTGAATTTCTCTGGGTTTTACTCAACTGTGTAGAAAGGCAACTCAATATCAATTTTGACTATATTCAATGTGCTCCATGTACACATCTTGAACATTTGAACATCTCATAGTTGCTCACACTAACCACTTCCTAGTAACCCTCTCCAAGAGAGTAAATAGTAGTGATACCCAGTAACATTAGGATATTGTTAACTAATATCCATTTGCCACATTAAAACCAGCACCATCCTCTGTCTAGCAGAGGGAAAATTAAAAGAAATTCAGGGTTTTCTTTAGCAAAATCCTATAGACAATAAATTCCTCAGTATAAAGCCTCAGGAAAGGTTTTCCTTGGAAGGCTGGTTGGTAGAAACACCATGGTTCTTTACTTAATAACACTTGTCTATGCTACCTCTGTTGCTAGAAATGAAGCAGTGTCACCAAACAAACTAGCTCTTAGGTCTCTCCTCCAGGAGGAGCTGGTTCTTCAAGACCTATTGGCAGACCCTGTGCAGTAACTCAGGAATGCCTGAGTTTTACCAACGAGCCTCATCTTTTAGGAAATAGAATGTGGATGCTGAATGCAATGGGCCTGTCTATCAAGAAAGAAGCATGCATTCATTGACTCAACATTGGTTGGTAAATCAACTCAGAAGAGATCCTGAGAACTACCAAGGTAAAATCCAAATGACAGCTTCTAGAGCCAGAGGTGAGTTGAGAGAAATACCCTAAAATATTTAAGACCCTAGACCCAGGCTGGGGGAAAGAAGCAAGGACCATTTCCTGAAAAACAATTAAAATTCAATAGTATCTGATACTCTAGTACCACTTCACCCAACTATGCCATGGGCTGTGAGCAGAACATTTCCCTAGGAATGAATGAATGAAGACTAGAATAAGCTTTCTACCACAGGAAGAGCCATTTGTAAGTAGACTCGAGAAACTCTTCAAATACAAACTAGATCTATTGTTATGTCCCTCAGTTTTAAGTATTACAAAAAAATCCAAAACATAACAGCAGAATGATCTCCAACTATAATGTTTTATTCTAAAAATACAACTAAGAAAACACTGTTTTAACAGTGTTCTCAAGTTTTCACCCCAATTTTACAGTTAAAAAAAGCTGATACGTGACTTATGAAACTGCAACCTCTCTGAACATCACCTTTATAATGGTAATGAAGAATATATTTTTTAAAAAACGGGGACCAGAACCTCCTAGAAGTTACTGTGAAAATTATTCTTTCATATAACAGCTATTTTTTCAAAAGACCAAATTGTGTCTACATCTCTTCATAAAATTAACAGACGACTCAACAGATATATGGAGCTAAGAATTTCTCTTACAAATTACAGATCTACCCATGCTACAAGTCTTCAACATTATAACAACACCAGGGAATTATTACTCGGTCTCCATCAGCTGACCCTCATTATAACCACCCAAGGAATACAACCTTTCCCATGCAGAGTTTAAAAAAAAACAAAAAGCCAAATCTGGGAGTCTGTAAGAACTCCAAGTTCACTCACTTGTCTTCTGCAAAACTCTTCCCAGTAATAACATCCTTCCCCTGAGGTACATAGTTCCAGTATTCTTCCACAATCCCAATGTAGTATGTTCTGGTAAGTGCACCAGCCAGCCCAGAAAGAGCCAAGAGTATGAGGAGAAGGAAGCAGCCAGCCAGCTGCTTCCGAGGCATTTGTAGATGTAACCTGGGCACGCAGCCTGCACAGGAGTCAACCTTGCCCGTCCCTCCCCCTCACTTAGAGCTACTTATAAATAAGGAATGGACAAAGCCCAGCTCCTCCTCCTCCTCAGGTAGCTTGGGGTTGGGACAGGAGCTGACAACTTGTGTAAGCAGAGCAAGGTTGATGGGAGAGTTGCTATGACGACAACATTTTTGCCAGCCATCCAAGAAATGTCTAACTGGCTTATTCATGTACTGCCCAAGCAAAACAGGCCTGTTTCTGAACGTTTTGGTACTCTGCGTTGACATGAGTCACTCATCACGTTTACCAAGAACAACTTGAGCTTATGGTTTTCCCTCACCTCTTTTCTCCTTTACACCTATTACAGAGCTTTATTTCGATTGACAAAGTGGGCTGGCCTGAGTTTAGCATCAGGAAACACTCCAGGCACCAAAGAAGCCCTCGTCTCTGTCAGGAAGGCAGGAGTGATGTAATCACCTCTGGCTTGTTTTATGAGGCTACATGAAACAATCAAGTCACATTATAAAGTTCCTAACAACACTGTAAAACTCCACTAATACTTCATCAGCTCACACACCATCATACCATTTCCCCCCCAATCCTCTGACCCCCAGCAAATTTGAGGAACTCAGACTGGCCAGGCCACCATCCCTGAATAGTTGACAATGACAAAGGAGGAATAGCCCTCAAACACACGAAAACCAATTTCAGCAGGAGATCCTTGGATTTCAAGGTGAAGAAGATGCTGTCCTGTGTGCTCGTCTGTGACCTAGAATCTCAGTGTTGAGTGAGACCTTGTTCAACCCTGGCAGAGACCCAATCTGATCCCCATCAGAACTGCTCCGGAGTCAACACTGTGCAAAGGGAGTAGCCAGTCCCTGGGCTCTGAGGTCAGACTCACTCAGGTTTGAATCCTCATCCCATTACCTAGCGATGGATGCCAAGAGGAATCACTTAATCTCTCTGAGCCTTTCTCTGTGAAATAGGATTGAGAGATTATTGAGACGATTTTCAGTGATGCTGTCTTCGAAGTGTCCGCCAGCACAGAATTAGTGCTCAGTAGGTGCTGAAGTGCTCATCTCTCTCACACCCTCAAAGAGACCTTATCAGCCTGTGTATTGACTGATTTGAAGTTCCAACAACATTCTTCTGATTTCCTTTCCCTTCCCCAATTCCCATGGACCATGCATTCTGTCAATTTCAAGTATGGAAGTTCTTTCTCTGTTGAGGTATGGATGTCCCATGACACAGGTATTGAACTAATCTCTACATCAATAAAAGATAAGCTGAATGTACTTTTTCACAGTCTTTGGTTTCTTGATTTGGCTTTCTGTGGAAATTCCTGTAGGATAATGACCACAGCACATGTTTATTGAACACAAATACATCTGACTTGAGAGGCTAGGAGTTTGGCCCATTGACATCCACAACACAGCCTTAAAAAAGGGAAGGAGTTATGAATTAGAAGTGTTTGGACTGAATAAATTTTGTTTATAGCCCATCAAGTGGCACAGCACCTTTGTTGTTTTAGAGTGAGTAAGACTTTAAGAAAGATTTCTAGAAATTATTTCATTGTTGTATAGTAAATTCCTCTGGCCTTTTGCTCCTTTACTTCTTCATTCTTTTATTGCTTCCCTTTTTTGAGGCTGTGTTGTGAGTTGTGGATGTCAATAGGCCAAATTCCTAGCCTCTGAAGTCAGATCGATTTGTGTTAAATAAACATGTGCGGTGGTCATTATCCTACCAGAATTTCTACAGAAAGCCACAGCCCCACGTTGGGTTTTCTGGGTGGTTAATTGGAGGTACGAGTCTCATGGCTTTTCCTGCCTGGGCTGACTTTGAATTGCGATCCTCAGATCTCAGCCTCCTAAGTAGCTAGGATTACAGGCATGAGCCACTGGCACCCAGCCATTCCTCCTGTTTGTAGCAAAGAGCTTGGTAAAAGAGGAGCAAAAGGCAGGGATTTTACTATAAAACAATGAAATAATTTCTAGAAATCTTTCTTAAAGTCTTACTCACACTAAGACAACAAAGATGCTGTGCCACTTGATGGGTATCTGAATTCCATAAAAGAAAAGAAATTGGCTGAGTGCTGGTGGCTCACACTTGGAATCCTAGCTACTCAGGTGGCATCACATAAACAGAAAAAGCCAGAAGTGGCACTGTGGCTCAAGTGGTAGAGAGCTAGCCTTGAGCTGAAGAGCTGAGGGACAGCACCCAGGCCCAGAGTTGAAGCCCCACGACCAACAACAACAACAAAAAATTATTAGGGATTTGCAAATTTAGGATAAGTATGCTATGACACATTATAGACAGATTCTGTGTGATGTTAAACTGGAATTGAAGCAATGAGTCTTTATTTTTCTTTTCTCTTTTTTTTAAATAGTGCCAAGAACTAAACACAAGACATTCTGCCTGCTAACTAAGCAGCCTACCACTTGCTATTTGTGTGTGTGTGTGTGTGCTGTTACTGGAGCTTGAATTTGAGGCCTGGACACTGTCCCTGAGCTCTTTCATTCAAATCTGTCACTCTACCACTTAAGCTACAGCTCCACTTCTAGCTTGTGTGTGTGTGTGTGTGTGTGTGTGTGTGTGTGTGTGTGTGTGTGTGGCTAACTGGAGATAAGAATCTCATGAGGACTTTTCCTGCCTAGCCTGGCATCAAACCACAATCCTCAGATCTCAGCCTCCTGATTAGATAGTATTACAGATGTGAGCCATAAACACCTCAGCCCACTCACTATTTTTGTTTTATTTGGTTTTGGTTTTGGTTTTGAGGCAAGGTCTTATGAAGAGCCTAGGCTATCCTGATCCTGGAACTTGTTATGTAACCCAAGCTACCCTAGAACCTGTAGTCTTCCTGGGACTACAGTGCCATAATACCTGGCTAACATGTGTTCTACTACTGCGAGGATGCTTTAGAGGAAAAATGAAGAAAATTTCATAAATTGTTTTGAAACAAGAATCCTTGGCTACAAGAATTACAGAAGAGTGGTATCAGCCTACATGGGGGACACACAGGTGTGTGAGCAGGTGTCTCGCTGACATACTCTTTGTACAAAGTTACAGTGACTACTATGTGAGGCTGTGGTTCTGGCAGAATCCTTTGTGATAACACTATTATCAGGCAAGGCATTCATGCGACATTCATAGCATCATGGCTTTATTTACTATTTTACAATTGACATAAGTGACTCCATTTTAATTGTGACAACTTTTGTAAATATGCTGTCACATTAGCTTATTATAACAGCCCTGTCAGGTACATACCCTATTCTACGGGTAAGAAAGATGAGGTTTAGAAACATTAGATGATTTTTTTCTTCATTGTCCTACAACTGGTAAAATGTGTAGTTCTACAAGTCTCCAAAGCCAGTCTTCCTATAGAGCTCAGCCAGTAAGGAAAACAGGAGACCGACTCTTTATAAATAAATAGAAGCTCAGATTTCCTAAGCATCTGTCCACTGGAGTAAGATCCGGAAAATGTCCCTTGACCCAAGGTCATACACCCCTGACAGTCCAGATAATCATTACAAAACCTTACATGCACCTAAACATACCATTCTGTTCCATTTCTCCATTTCATGTCTTAGCCCTCCACTCCCAGGAAATACCTTCTCGTGCCCCCATCCTCCTGGGATCTTTCTCTCCTTGGTTCTAACCATGCCCGCCATGCCCTCCCTCCTCCTCCAGCATTAGCCATACCTCCTGCCATGCTTCTTGTGCACTAGGCACATGCTCACTCATCCCTGTTTATATGATCAGTGGCTTATACTTTGCTCTCCATAACACACTAGAAATGCTTTAAAAACAGTGTCACACCAGCCATCCACACTGCCTTCGTACTACACGTGATACCTCACAGCTTTGTTAAAACAACTTGAAGTCACTCCTAGTCCTAGCTACACAGGAGAATGAGATCTGAGGATCTCAGTTCTAAGCTAGCTGGTGCAGAAAAGTCCATGAGACTCTTTCCTTCAATTAACCACCAAAAAAAAACCCCAGAAGTGGAGTATGGCTCAAGTGGTAGCACTAACCTTGAATGAAAAAAAAAAAAAACAAAAAACAAAAAGAAAAAAAACTCAGGGATAGCACTCCAGCCCCAAATTCAAGCACAAGGACTGGCACCAATAATAATAATAATAACAACAACAACAACACAATCAAAGCTGGAGACCATCCCATCCTCCACTTCCAAGCCCCTGGCCCTCAATCTTTGAGCTCTTGATCTTACTAACAGTCTCACCCTACTCAACAGTTGGGGGCTGCTGACTTCCTGGTTTGGGAGTTGCCTTCGCCTGTGCTTCCACAATGTTACCTTTCCCTTGTGTCTTTGCTCCAAGCTCTTAGACAACCTTGCCTCTCCCTCATGCCCTGGGATGGTGCTTGCGCCATTTCTTATCTGGATCAGGAGATTTAAAAGGCATTTTGTTTATCTCTGTATCTTCAGTGGTGAGCCTAGAAGCAGACTCTGAGGAAATGGCAGTAACAGTAACAGTGTCAAGAAGTCTGCTAGCTGTTACACACCCCCCCCACACACACACACACACACACTGTCCTTTATCCTGTGCAGCCATAATACCTTGGGAGGGCAATAGTATAAACTAAGTTTGGGTAGATTAGAACTTTCAATCTCTGAGCAAGGGTAAAAGCAAGTCTTTTTGACACTGAGGCCCACATTCTAGGCCACTACACTCAACAGATGTTAAAAAACACTGGATTAATCTTCACAATAAAAAACTTATTCATTAAAAAAAAGAAAAAAATTTGGATTAGAGGGTAGAGGTTCATGCTTGTAATTCTAGCCACAGGGGAGGTGAAGATACAAGGATCACTGTTCAAGGTCAGCCAGGGCAGGGATGTCTGTGACACTCTTTATCTCCCATCAACTACCAAAAAAGCTGGAAGTGGAGCTATGGCTCAAGTGGTAGAGTGCTAGCTTGAGCAAAGAAAACTCAGGGGCAGTGCCGAGGCCCCAGGACAGGCTCAA